TCATGGACTGTGAAAATATTGAAATTAAGAATAGTCGTTTAGAATTTTTAAATATGGTTTCGGTTTATGATGAAAAAATTCAAGAATTATCCAAGGATAACTTACTTAAAAAATTATTTACCTCAAATGATAGTTTCATTGTTAACAGTCTCGGAAAATTTGTTCATCAAATTATAATGTCTAACAATATCTAAACTTTACTTTTGTTTCTTATTACATGTACTACTAATATTTTATATTTCTTTGCTTACTTATTGTTTAATTGTTATTGATGTTTGTTACTTGTTGTTGTATGTTTATTGACCATTGATAATGTAATTCAATGCATTATTTCGTGCCAAATAAAATATACTATACAATCAGAGGTACATTACTTGGGGTTTGCAACTCGCATTAGTACTGTATGGTGATATCATGTCAAGATCCCATTCAAGTCTCTTCTCGTAGATAGCGAGACTGAGGCTACGACCTTCTGACATGACGCATATCAATGTTCAAGGTTTGTAATGAAAAAAATAAACTTTTCTTGTCACTATCATAGTGAAAAATGTAATACATCGAAAATGTACAGAAAATATAGTTCTCGTAATCCGTCATATCGTGGGCAGCTATTTTGATCCACCTGGACATCCCAGTATCCTAGTTACCTCGGGCATGTGCATTCGCATTTTTTCTGAGTTGGAACGTTTATACGAGAGCGATATTGTGACGGGAACATTATTCTGTTTATTACACATGCATTATGAACTTTTACTTCACAACTATTGTACTATTATTACTTGAAATGTAGCTCAATTTACTCTTGACCTGGTGAATAATCAATCAATCTAAAAAAACAAAAAACTATGTGACCGATTCAGTTTTATCTTGAGCAATAAATCTGTGAATTTACGCCCTATTATATACGTGATGGTTCAATCCGGTCTATATTTATGGATTTACGTCATATGTTTACAAAGTAGTCAAAACAATACAATGTTCGTCTTGTAAAAAAGACCGACACAGTGGATTGAAATATGCTCACACAGTTCGGGATGTCCTTAACACGTTTACGATAGACTATTGCAGTTTTACAACAGTATTTAATTTATTGTTAATGTCAAACGTGGAGCGGTATAGTGTTATTAGAAAAATAACACCGCGGCAGACACGCGCACATTGACCTCGTAGCACAATGCGGGACAGGTGATCAAGTGACGTCATGTCTGAACTGCAATGAGCAGTTTAAACCTATCCGCGGCATCTAAAAGAAATAGTTCGTAGTGACATAATTCATATTTTTGCAATGTGACAATTGAAATTGATACATTGATCAGTTAAAACCAACGATTATTTATTTTTTAAGTTACACAGTCGTGTTGATTTTTAAATTCGAGGCACTACTACTTAATTGTTCGATTCCCAGTGCGTAAGGATATTGTGTTTGTGGTGCGTTGTGTAGTTTAATGTTATCATCCGTACGCCATTACGGTGAATATCGCTTCCGTATTGTAGCTCAAACCTTATAAAGAATTCCCGACTGGATGGTGCGTTCCAAACTGATTTTGACTTGTAATATAAGCGAAGATGGGAAACTGTCTTAGAAGTGTCACATCCGATGATATTTCATTATTGAATGGTGGCGATCGGTCTCCGGGGGCAGAAAGTTTGGGACCACCACCGCCGTATCAGGTAAAAATTGTAAAAACACGTAGACTTGCATTGTCCTGGGCTTCACATATTGCACAAATTGGTCTGTTTAGGGTTTCCACAAGATATTTCTTTCTCATGGAATTTCATCTAGCCATTTTTTGAATCAAAGTAATATGAATGACAGGAGATCCTGATGAAATATTAATCTCTGGACATTGTTTAGATTGATCACACACGAGAGATGTCATTTAAAATGTTGTTTATTTACAATTTGGTAGTTGACGGGAGTTCAGCTTTTTTGGGGGGGGGGGGTTATCTCTGACCTTCGTTTAGCAGAGACACAGATTGCTGGTACACAATAGGTTTGTGAAGTCAAGGACAGTCAAAGGAATTTTATTGAGATATATTATATCAGTTATTTTTTTTTAGTGAAAGACAATCTTTGTTATTTCTTAGAATAGAATAGTTTCATTCGGCTTTTCAATTTTCACTATATTTGTCTACCTTTTTTCGAATAATAATCAATTTGAATTTACATGAAGATTATTTACTGATCTATGAAGATTGGTTAAAATAGGAGAAATATTGAATCATCTCTGCACTCGTTTTTAATACTTTTGAATGTTTTTTTAATGTACATAGTGTATATAAGTTTACTGGTTACTTGGATATGTTACAATTAACACTCATTTAAATAAGTATTTCAACCGGGTAACAAACTCTGATAACACATTATTAAGAGAAGCCTACTTAGTAAATAAGAATGTAAAAAGTAAATGGTTTACAAGTGTAGAAACCCTCATGCAAGATATTGATGTTGTCACCATTGTAAACTCAAGTGAAATAATAAATAAGAAAAATTTAGACTTTATTTATAAAAAAAAATAAACAAATCATTTGAGAACCAATGGATCTTAGACATGCATAATGATAATAGAAAACAAACCTTGGCTGAAAACAAACTAAGAACATACAGACTTTTCAAACAAGATTTAAAAATTGAAAATTACCTAATTAATATGCAGAATCATGGTCTTAGAAGATTAATTGCAAAATTCAGGACAAGCAACCATCACCTTAAAATTGAGAGAGGCAGACATAATAATGTGCCACTGGATAAAAGAACATGTGATATGTGCAGCCAAAATATAATTGAGGATGAGCAACATTTTGTAATGAAATGTCCAGCTTACAGTCACCATAGGGACAAATTATTCCTGACTGCACAAAATAAAGTTCCAAATTTTGATAAAGAAAATAGTCAGAATAAATTCATTTTGATTATGGGAAATCATACTCTAGCACCAGTCTTCTTAAAAAACAGCTATGGAACAAAACGGCAACAACTATCAGTGTATTAGGCTACATTTTGTGTTCATTCTATATTCTGTATTCACCATTGGCTGCAAATTGTCTTTATTGTTTTTGACTTGTTTTATATTTTTAGAAAAGTTTTTATTTTTTGTTATCCTTTTTAGATTGTAGTTTTTTAATTTCTTTCTGTAAGACCCTTTTTATCCTTTCCTAAGGATTTTATGCATCTAATAAACAATAGTATATCACTACTGTGATTAGAAGTTGAAAATTATTAAGAGGATTTTGCTCTGCAAAACCATATGACTAATGATTTAGTATACAGTATTAATACACTAAAAAAGAAGGAATAAAATTTAACTAATCTACAAAAACAGAATATTAATAGAAAACATTAAAACAACTCCTTCTAAATTAAAGGTGTATATATAATCCCATTAATGCCTATACAATATACCTAGTAGATATATACATCTGAAATAGTTTTAGTTGTTACCTTTTTATGCTTTTTTTATATGTTTGCTAAGTTACTAATGTGCTGTGCCAATATTCACATTTGTCAGTGTATAATGGGTGGACAACTTGGTCTGCTATATTGGTTCTAAATATGTTGAAAAATCCACTTGTTATAATGACATAAATTTTGACAAGTCATTTTTTAGGCAGTTTTGTTTTCTTGTAGAGAAATCTTACCATTTTTGTTTCCCTTTTTCTGTTTTCATAGTGGAATAAAAATTAACTTGGCAATTTTTAGTTTCACTTGTATAGATAGAATGGACTTGGCTATTGAGTTTTGATCAGATTTAATAATTTCACCAATTATATATTCTGAGCATATTCACTGTGTTGTAAATTTGCTGGTGAGAAAATGAGTTTTGTTGTAAATTTTGGTGGTGTGTATTTATTATCATTGCGGGTGCATTTATTGGTGTACAGGAGTCTAGTGTCTGGTCTGAGTTTATTGAAAGTGCAAGAAGTTTATCAGTGCATGATTCCTAATACAAATAAAGCATAAGTTTGTCAATGTGTCTGGCATGTATGTTTTGTTTTCCCAATTGAGTAGGTATTTATAACAGCCAGGGTATTTTGTTATTGATATGCAAATTAGTGGCTGTGAGCAGTTTGACTCAACATGGAATAACCTGCTTGCATGGACCCGTTTGACAGAACTGAACTAGTGCATGCAGACAAGCGAGGCACATATTGAGTCTTTTTGTGGAAACCTAACCTGAAAAACGAATTTATCTTCGTGCGTTATCCCAAGAAAAAATGTGGCGCAGAATTTTTCCATCAATTTAGAAAATTACCCATAGGACTTACGGCTTAGCACTTGTGACATGACATGTTTTGTTCTTAAATTTGAATTTTCTTTTTACATTCATAAATTCTCATTTGTATATATAATTTCCTTACATTTTTGTCTTGAGACATGAGACAAAGGTGTTATTATTATTTCTGGTGAGAACACTGAATCTTTATGTTATCATGCACAAATTGATACATGATGTTTCAGTGTAGTTTGAAATATGACTGCATATTTTTGCAAATGCTTCCTGCAAATGTTGACTACACATGCACAAACACTGTGTAGACATGACATCAATATTCAAGTCAAAATACTGACTGCTGTCTCATATAGTTTCAGACATGTGTGTAATATTTATTCATAGACAGAAAGGGAACTATTGTACTCTTAGTATTACAGAGGGTATCCATAATTTAGTACAGGATGACTAAAATAGATCTAGAATCTACCTTTGATCCTTGACCCATGATCTTTGTTTTATTGTGGTTCTGGCAATCTTGTGTCATTTTGCGTATGTCCCCATAAGGTTATCCTAGTACTTTCTGTAGACATATCCGGTAATGTGACTTTTAACACTCACAGACCTGCACTGATTTAACTACACTTCAGTTATTAATATTAACAAATCAAAGTAGAATTTGTTTATATATATTATCGTATAATAATTCTAGTAATATTCTCCACGTTTATCATGAACTGTTTTTGAGCTGCTTGTATTTAAAAATAAATAATAGAATCTCACACTGAAGTGCCTGGGAGTCCCCACAAGTTGGGGAATCACAAGAGCTGTAGCTGAGACAAAAATCCCAAACGAGTGTGGGAAAATCTTATCCCAAGCCCTTTGTGTGGAATTCTTTTTCTCCAATCACATCAAAATACAGAGAAAATAAACTTCATATACATGTATGTTGTGTATGTAGCTCTGTTGGCTGATAGGATGTTGTAGACTACATTGCTGTGTATGTAGCTCTGTTGGTTAATAGGATGTTGTAGACTACATTGCTGTGTATGTAGCTCTGTTGGTTAATAGGATGTTGTAGACTACATTGCTGTGTATGTAGCTCTGTTGGCTGATAGGATGTTGTAGACTACATTGCTGTGTATGTAGCTCTGTTGGTTGATAGGATGTTGTAGACTACATTGCTGTGTATGTAGCTGACAGGATGTTGGACACAGTGCTCCATGTAATCCTAGAAAATTACACATTCTTTGTTCAGGGGTTAAACAGTTATATCATGTATGTATGGGGGTCTAAAAACTAACTCTGCGACGCGATTGTGTGACTCGCCGAATGTTGATTATTGCACTCTGTGACAGGATCGCAGTGTCACTCTGCGAAGAGCACGATTCCTATTGGTTGGTGGGTCGAACAGCAAGAATCCCAATGGGTGATGTTCACCGCATGCCTTATAAAAAATTAAGTTTTAAATGGTAAAAATGGACTTTATGGTAGGTAAAAAAAAGTGTGTAAACACTATGTACCAGCGACATGCCGCACTGTTCGGTGATCGGCAAGCACATGGAAGACAAATTGTGGGACCAAACAAATGACACATGGTTTATGGTGATTGGACACATCATACCGCTGGCTGGAAAAGTTAAATAGTGTAACATGCATGTTGGTGTTGACTGCGCTATTTACGGTGTAACGTTATCGCCATCTTGGAGTTGTAAGGTTTCGTCCCGACGACTATGCTCATTAGCATAGGTGGCAGCTTTAAAGCGAGTGGAACGCAAAGTACTTTTCACGCTTTCTGTAACGAATGTTGTATGTCTACGTTGACTTTGTTGAGTGCATCAAGGAAAATAATTTGCATGCAGTGAAAAAAAAATCATTCACAATGTGCAACTTTTCGCTATGACAGCAGTTGTTTGCAATCGTCTGCCTTCGTTTAGATCATATCATAAACGGACTCCAAACTTGTGGTCTACGATCGATTCGCTGGTATTTTAACCACCAGAAATGAAATACTTAGTAACAGTTGTGAAAAGTAAACACGAACGGCGTTGGTTTGTGGTATGAATGGAATTATTTTTGTATCATAATTTTCGAAGTCATTATTACTGAAAATTATGGTTTATTTTTTTGAATGAACGCCAAATTTTGGTGGTCCATATTAATGTATCTTAATGTAGTGGGAAGGGACATTTTCTTATTTTTTCTTGATTTTTCAATAATTGATAAAACGGTTACTGTAAAATGACTAATTTTCACTGGGTTTAAATTTCACTGATTTACCATTTCAGGCATATTCAGTGGGTTTTAAATTCACAGTTTCGTCATTTAGATAATGTGTTCGATGCTAAATTTTACATATTCACTGGGTTTTAATTTAATGCATTTTTCAGTCAGCGAAATAAGCTAAATTAAAACCTAGTGAATAATTACATGTACCCCCTTTACAGTACTTTGTACCAGTTCTTGATTCATCCTCCCAGCTTTTCGAAATTTCGGAAAGACCAGTGCTCAAACGCTAACACTACTACCGTTTCGTTAATATTTGCATAATGTTTATAACATGTATATGTATACTACCGGTAATACTCTGTTGTTAACGATTCTGATAGAACGGGTGACAAGCTTCCTGTCGCAAACAATGCATATTAATCTAACGACCATTGTCAGCATTATTATCAGTCAAGACTTCGTCTGAGAAATCGTTTTATTTTCTATATTCTATTTTAATAACACCATCTTACTAATGCAATGACGATGAAAAGAAAGAAAGCAAAGACGCCAATAACAGACGAGGCAAAGAAAAATCTGAAACTCAGGATCATATTTACTAATTTAGACTTGCGTGCAGCCTGTTGTGATTCTGATGACAAATTACAGGACTTTCGCGTTCACCCCTCATTTACGCAATTTATAATTATATTTATTTTTCAAGAATTTTTCATTGGATTCGCAACAGATCGCAAGCACGTCTAGGTCATATTATGACCAACCTCGCGAGTGGTTCGAAAGGGACAAGTAGGCTGAAATATTCGCATCAACACAAAAGAGTTTCAACTACTTAACCGATGACGACACTGATACGTGAGACCGTTGAGGGTCAGTGATCAGACGAGGAAGTGAGTACAGGAAATCTGTTGCTCGTCGACATCGGCCAAATAAACAAAGTCATAGTTTCCGTTTATGCAGAGAGCGTGCACCCATCTAATTTTCTGTTGACACTGCTGTTTTAGTTTTCTATCTTCAGCAGTAGTTTCAATCCATTCACACAGCTTTACGTTTTTTCTCTCTTAATATTCTTAATAAAACAGTTTGACCCGCTACACGCTTTATTTGGGAATTCAAAGTGATGAATATAGTCATAACAAATTATATTTGCCAATGACAAAAAAAGAATGTAACATCGCGTGAAACGTACTTCGCGCTCTACTCGCTTTAAAGATGCCGCCTATGCTAATGAGCATAGTTGCGGACAAAGCCTTACAACTTGGCGTTAATGGCGTTAATGTTACCAGCTCCCTGATGTTACACTGTAATAAGGCAGCCAACACCAACGTGCATGTGTTTTGTAACCCCTTTCATCCCCTCCGGGGGATGTTATATATGTTAATAAACCAATGTTAAATACTTGCTGATTACCGAACCGTGCGGCATGTCGTCGGTAAATACTTGTTTACCGTAGTTCGCGACCAGTCGGCGTAATAACCATTTAAAACTGAACATTGCTATAAGGCATGCAGTGCAGGGTACACATCTATCGACCATTGAGGTTCGCGCTTTTCGACCAACCAACCAATGGGAATTGTGCGCTTCGACCAACCAACCAATGGGAATCATGCTCTTCGCAGAGTGACACCGCGATCCTGTCGCAGAGTGCAATAATCGACAATCGGCGAGTCGCACAATCGCGTCGCAGAGTTAGTTTTTAGACCCTCATACATACCTCGTTATATTAGACAATAGTAAGATCCATTGTCTGCAGCACTACAATTTAACATTAATAAAATGCGATGTGATAAAGAACAAATCAGCCCACCAATTTGTATTGATATGTTTTGATCATAAAATGTCAAAATCGAAGACAAATATTGGTTTCGTGTTGGGGAGTAGGGTAAATAAAATAGAGTTCATTTCAATCACTCCAAAATCAAACACGACAAATTTTCGGGGAAAGGTATAAACAAATTTTGCGAAAATGTGTCACTGCTGGTAAAATAGATGAATTAAAGAACTACTTGCCGGCTAAAATATGACATTATACAGATATCCTGATTAAAAAATTATGTGAAAAAGCTTGAATTCTGGAATAAACAACTAAAACACATAACACTGATGATGTCAAAAATAGTGAACGGCTGTGTACCGATCATGTGACAATGTTTTGCCCATACCCGTAACGTGCCTTTGCCAGGGAAGGAGACCAATTCACACCTAATACAATGACCGTTTGCAGACCGGGGATAGAGGGACTGTGTCTGCAGCTATCATCTTGAACAGAATGAATTGTTCATTTATGCAAATATTCATAACTTGTTCTGCTATCTTTTGAAACACTACATGATTGCAAAACCAGGAAGTGATCAACTTCCTGTCAGACTTTTAAGATTTCCTTGTACAGCACAAATGTTAGTTTCATTCCATGCAGAGAGACTTCCTTCTTAAGCATTCAAAATACAATGAAAGGGAAATGCAGCTATAATACATGAATATGCCTTGCAGATTTATTGAACAAAACTTCCTGTGTGATTTGTAAAGACTAAGATGTAATAACAGTTGTAGTGGCACTGCACAGCACCTGGTTATAATTCATTTAAACATTTAATTAATAATATATTTTAACAAACATTTTAATTGAATAATTAAAATATTCTTAATATAAAATTAAATTGAAAATTAAATGTAATTTATTAAAACTTTCAATAATGGGTTCTTGGAATTGAAATAATTGTAGGTCATTCACTGGACAATTTTTGGCAATATTGTATCTGTGTTTTAACATTAATTTCTATGGTAAACATCTTATTGTTACGTTATTGTTTGTTTCAATTGTGATAATATTTTGTCTTTTGATTCATATCCCATAATGCAATGCAGTGCTCAGTTAAACACTCAGGTGGTGGACAATTCATTTATTTATATTACTCAAAGTCAACCTAAGCATGGTTTGTACACAGCAAGAATGATAATTCATTTGTGCCATTTGCTTGTTTGATTTTTGCATACATGAGATGATTTTATTTCTGAATCAGTAAATTTGTTCCTTCATTTCTCTTGTTAGATTAAAATTCTCACTATCATCCAAAAGTAGTCATATATCCAACTGTGCAAATCGTATTTTAATCTCATGGGTATAATCTATTTCAGAAATTTCTGAATAAAGAACCATTTCTACAGTCAGAAAGAATCTAAATGACTGGTATACACAGTGTGCAGATTCACCGTATTAGCCAATAGTAACTGTGCATCAAACACAACGAAGCAATGATGATGTGTGGGTTTGAGTAGGTTTGCAACATTTTACCCACAATCGTGAAGGTTTAGAATTGTAAACATACTTGAACTGTGCAGTAATGAATTACCTGTAAATGTACATTACTTCCTGATCATAAGCCCCTCCCTGGTTATAAAACCAACCCCAATATTTGTGTACATTTAACGAGTTGCGGGTATCCCTGGTTATAGACCCAGAAACAATGTGTTAACATTTATTAAAAAGTGTGTTTCATTGCTGCAAATCTTGACTAGTACGTTAGTTCTTAGTTCTTTTTTTGAAGTGTGTGGTGGCCTGACAAGGGCTGTTCGGTTAGTGCTTTTACAAGAAAACTCGCATGGCGAACAACGCAACATGGTATGCACTTTCTGTTCTGTTATTACTCACGGTGAACCAAATGTTGTAATACTGAAGTAATCTATATCTCTTAGAGTGGTAGTTTTCGAAATACCAAAAATGTGACCGTCATGTCATGAAACCTGCTCCTTGGACCTCGTTTTACAGTTTTGAATAATCAGCATTCATTGAGATTGCTTTGATGTGACCTGTTGGTGGCAGTGAAAGGCGTTAAATACTCGTTAAATACTTAGCTCACTTCCACATTTTGACATTGCCATTAAACGGAAATTTCTGGAAAAATTTATCATTATTTTGATTGGTTAATGACAGACTTGACCCGTGACTAGAAAAACGTTGTGGCGAAAATTGCCTTGTACTGAGATTATGCGTCCGATCGAAAACATCCCTCAATGAAGATAATTATAATGATTTTGGCCGTTTTCCCACAGACCCTAATCATTTTTACATGTACTGTGAATTCAGATGATATGACTCATTCCTCATATTCGGTACGGTAAACAAAATATTTAATTTAAATTTTTCAAGCCAGCGGAAAGCCAACTAGTTGCAGCATTTAAATGAACAGCAAGCAGCTTAACAATGTGGATGCTCTTTATTTTTAACAGGAAGAAGCACCAGTTTATTATCCTAGTCCAAATCAACGACGACCAGCAAATCAATTAACAGAGGAAGAACAAGTGAGGATAGCACAAAGAATTGGACTCATACAGCATTTACCAACTAGTATCTATGATGGAAGCAAGAAAAACAGAGAGTAAGTTTCATTCATAATGTAGTATTTACTTTTCACTATTTTTTTTTGTGTGCACAAATTAAACAAGTACTTTTCAGTGATTATTTTTTTTCAGAAAAAAACAGATAACAGAATATTTGTCATAATTTGATCTGGCCAGCACCAGCAGGTTGAGAAGCTACACACAAAACACAATGTGGGACTGGCAATGTCATGGAGCTTTGCCAAATCTGTCAAAACATAACGACTAGACAAGGTTAAATACTCCAAATTAGGTTTGCCCCCTCCCAAATGTGATACAAGCTCAGTGTTAGAATAATTTAGATGCAACCAGAAATTCAAAATTTTGAGTTTGGACCATACATAATAAATTATGACATGAGGTCAAGCAGTTATCAGGTCATTCACATGAGGTCAAGCAGTTATCAGGTCATTCACATGAGGTCAAGCAGTTATCAGGTCATTCACATGAGGTCAAGCAGTTATCAGGTCATTCACATGAGGTCAAGCAGTTATCTGGTCATTCACATGACGTCAAGCAGTTATCAGGTCATTCACATGACGTCAAGCAGTTATCAGGTCATTCACATGACGTCAAGCAGTTATCAGGTCATTCACATGAGGTCAAGCAGTTATCAGGTCATTCACATGAGGTCAAGCAGTTATCAGGTCATTCATGATATTCATACATGTACCCGGTATACGGAGAGGATGACCTCTGGATTGACTTTACAACAACATGGAACCTCATGTTCACAAAAGGTCTTTAAATGCAGTATGAATTCCTTCAAAAGAAGTGCTCTTTTTGACTTAATCTTGAAAAAAACCAGCTTGTTTGCTTTGATATTATGCATGTGGGTACCACGCATATACATGGGTATATGTAACCACCTAAGGTGGTCCTCAGTGTGATTTGTTCATTTTGTGCTGATACCATAGACAATGATATCCCAGTTACAACACATAAGGTCACATAAACAATGATATCCCAGTTACAACACATAAGGTCACATAGACAATGATATCCCAGTTACAACACATAAGTTCACATAGACAATGGTATCCCAGTTACAACACTTAAGGTCACATAAACAATGATATCCCAGTTACAACACATAAGTTCACATAGACAATGGTATCCTAGTTACATATCACAGTGATAAAAATGGTACTGTGGTACAAATAAGTTTTCTCAATATTGCGACAGATATGGTTGCATTACACACCATGAAAAATGGTTGCTATGTTGTATGAATGTTGTTCAGTAAACATCAAAGGAAATTCACTTCACCTGGTATTGCTTTCTAGCATCAAAATGTTCACACATGCATGTGTCACTGTAAGTCAATGGGTAATCATCAAATTCAAACCTTCAAATAATAGTAAACAGATTTCTAGAACCATAAAGGTCAATTTAGCAGTCCCTGGGATTACATCATAACTGATCTGTCTTGGTGAACATTTAATATATATGTTTTCTTTTTACTCCTTCTAGATGCGTGATATGCATGTCAGAATTTGTGTACGGAGACCCCATACGTATTCTTCCCTGTATGCACATATATCATTTGGACTGTATTGATGACTGGCTTATGAGATCATTTACATGTCCATCATGTATGGAACCCGTTGATGCCGCCTTACTCACATCCTATGATTCTACCAATACAACATAACTGCCAGATGTATCCACAAAGACATTAATATATGTACGCTATTGGCTGGGCCAACCATGTACTCATAGCAATCTTTACATAAACTCTACATATTATAAGTGAGACAAGTGAAAACAAGTATTGGTGTTGATGGATTTACAAGATTATCAATGCACATGCAGTTTTTTCAGTTGCCGTCTTTTTTTTTTTACAGTGTCGACAGTGTGTTTGCAAGCAGTGGCTGCATTTGAAATCCATTGTTTTTTTTCTCACTTGTCTATTTTTAAACAATTATTACAAAGAGTCCGGTACTAGGAAGCTAGTGTTTAAAATTTTGAAGAAAATGTTGTATTTATTTCCATGCATGTAGTTTACTTTTTCTAGTGGGTGCATAACTCTACAATCCCCTGTGAACAGAATGGATTATTCCCTTTCTATGGATGGATTATACTATGTCAACTAAATAGGGGGAGAAGTGTCTAAATATGAATTTCAAGTTTATGGTGCTTGATCGATTTTTCACTTCAACATAAGAACATTGCTTCATACTGGTTCATTATGTGTTGTATTCAGAGGCTACTGACAACTCACAAGTATTCATCCAACTGCTGATAATGTACAACTTTTTACTACAATAGTCAAAATGAATTCTAGCTTCAGTTTAGTACCTTATTTTAGAAATTTACAAAAAAACTATAAATATATATTTATTTTAATTCTATTATTGGGGCATCTGGGGATTGGGCAGGGTGGTGTGTGCAAGGAATTAATGTTTTATTTATGTCTGTATTTAAGTTTGTGCTACCGGTAGTTGCTTTCTAGATGTTTGTCATGTGGGATAAAATCAGTCACAGTATTGGGGGGGGGGGGGGGGTTGCAAAAAAATACACAACTTTCGCCATGTAATTCTGTTCTTTCAGCAAATATGCATCTTAATTACTAATGAATTTGTTGCATCCCTTTGGGTCACATCTTTTGGATTCAAATGAAAAGTTTTACAGTTTAGAATCTATGTGAGAATCTGTATGAATGTTCTGATCCCTTCAAGATGTACATAATAAATGAAAAGTTCTATTTTGGGGATATAATACTGAATATCAATATTTAATATTAGTGCAATCAATGATCAACTCATTGTACTTCCCTCAAAGCTTAAATGTGCTATGTGTGTTATTATTTGTACTGTCAAAGTATGCAAGAATAAAATTTTTGAATTTTGCATTTATTTTCCAAGTCATGATATACAGCGGTAATGTACGAGAATGACAAGAAACTTGATCATGCAGTGTTCTCCCCAGCAATTCGCACATGAAACAGGTGCTACCGGTAATTTATTTTTCTTACAAAACTTCATGCATCACATTTGTAATGATATAAGGGAGATGTTTGTAAGGGTCTGGGGAAAACACTGATGGTTACAATAGATA